TTTAATTATATTATTAAAAATTTATTTAAATTACATTATAAAATTTTTGTTTCTTAAAATACCTTTCTTGATAATTTTACATGTTTGCTAGTTTTTGCTAAATATAATTTATTTATCAACTAATTTACTAGGTAGTTTACAAACATAACTTCAAATAAAATACTAACCAACTAATCCCCAAGTCAAGAAAGACAAACAACAAAAGAAATAATAGATTTTAAAACCCGAATACATTGCATATAGGCATAGCAACTGGGCGAGGATGGGGCGGATTCGTAATCCTCGGCCCGGTCCAGACCCCGATTTTTAGTAATAGCCCCCGGCCCCGGTCCCCGACAGGCCCGGAGATTAACATCCGGATCAAACTCCATGAATAATATCCGTTAGTTTGAGTCTACCGGGATCTCCGGCCCCGGCCCCGGCCCCGGCCCCGGCCCCAGCCCCGGCCCCGATTTAAGTAACATCCCCGGCCCCGACTTTAGTCTATCGAGGATCCCCAGCCTTGCGACCCATTTTAGCGGGGATTATCCGTCTTGTTTGGGTCAGCGAGCCGGTTTTCCACCGGGTCTGGCAAATCACCGACCTTGATTGCATATAGCCATTTATATACACTTCTCGTTATCAGTAAACATAGTTTAATTAACTTGTGGAAACATAAACTCCAATTTGACAAGGAAGGAGCCTTTCTTTTTAACTCCCTTTGAAGGTTTCTGAGTTCGATGGCTCAATCTTCGATCCTCTTGTTCAATCTCAATCGTCTTTTCCGTCGCCACTTTCCGACACCACTTAATCAATCCTTGTTTTCCCGATTCGTCACCACAAATCGCAACACCAAGGTAAACTTTTCACCATCAGATTCCGAATCCGATGATAACTCGCCAACGACGGCTGTGAAAGAGGTAGACGACAAGAGCAAGCTACCGCCTCCGTATGATCCATTTAAGAAGACCCCTGTAATCCATGAACCCGATGACCCGACCAACCTTCAGGAAGTGTTTCATAAGATACGGACCCAAGGGCTCAACAATAATGCAGTCAAGATGTTCGACGCTTTGTCTAAAGACGGGCTCACCCACGAGGCGCTTGATTTATTTTCCCAGATTAAAGATAAAGGTGAAATGCCGGACGTGGTGGCTCACACGGCTGTGATCGAAGCATACGCCGCCGCGGGTAAAGCTAAAGAAGCCCTGAAAGTGTATATGCGCATGCTTGCCTCCGGCGTCCTGCCTAATGCCTATACCTACACGGTCTTGATCAAGTCGCTGGCGGAGTCTGGAGACGAGAAATTGTTGGCGGAATCGAAGAAGTATTTCATGGAGATGATGGGGAAGGGTATTAGACCGAATCCAGGGACTTGTGTGGCGGTTTTTGAGGGGATTGTGAAGGGTGGTAAGGAAGAAGAAGGTAGACAACTCGTGATGAAGATGAAGGCTCTTGGATTTGCTCCTGATCACAAGGGTTTGAGGGAGCTTCTAAACAACAAAAGAGGTCAGGTTTTCCGATCGGTTATCAACATTCTATTTGGAAACTGAGATTACTATTTAGCTTTTTGCATTTTACAAGCAAACCCTGTTAAGTTCATGTGTCAGTGTCAACAAAAAGATTACAGCCTTAGAGGTTATTGTTGAATGCATAGTCTTGATTGGTTTAATTTGTTCTTGCTTCTTGTGTTTTTCATACAAATTTGCAGCCTCAAATTGGTTTGATCAAGATTTATTGTCATGTCAATGGTAAACTAAGTGAAATATCTTGACTAAAGTGCATGCTTTTTCATGTGGTTCTTGGAAAGTAAAAGAACTCTTTTGGGGGTTTCCAACATGGTGACAGCTTTTTTAGAGGTTTTTGGTTTATGGTTGTAATTGCATCAGTTTTAACTTTACAGTAAAAACCCAAGCATTATGGACGCTCTAGTGATCCTCAGGTGCACTTATTGCTGTGTTAGATTTGATTGTTTTAGTAATTACATTGGCTATATTTGTTGAAGGTGGTACGCTAATTTCATTTCAACATGGCATTCTAATATCATAGAGCATCTCGGGCTAAAGCATCTCCTGTCATACATTTCATAATGTAGGGAGTAATGTGCATCAAAATTAGTGTAGGCAGTGTATTTTAATATTGGAAAATTGACTAGGTAGCCTTCCACCCATTTATATTGGTCTCTTAGTCATTTCTTTCCCTGTTTTATCCAAATGTCATTACGTTCGAAATATCCACATTCACAATTTGCAATAGTTATCCAAATGTCAATACGTCCGCAATATTGCTGACCTGGCTAAAAGATAAAAGAAAATTTCAAATTCCACGATGTTAGCAAGTGGCATCATCGCAGGTGCGTACCTAAGTTGAATCTGATAATTTTTTTGTCTTTTAGGATGTGAATATTGTGGATGTAGTAATATTTGGGTAAACCCGGAAGAGGAATGATTAAGAGACCAATTTGAATTGATGGAATAAGTATTTGAGTCAATTTCCTTTTAATATATCAACTTCAATCATACATCCTGCATTATTAGCAATATATTATTTTAAGAATTTATTGTGTATTTTCATGGATTTTATATTTTCTAATGGGAAATTCATGGATTGTATTCATTTCTCTTTTCATATATTCTACTCTCACAACCCTTAATCCTTCAACACAATAAATCATCACAATCCTTAACCCATTAAACACAATCAACCATCACAAAACATCAAATCACATCAAAATGATGATGTTTTTGTGTATCTGATAAGCGTGGATTTTAACATGCTTAAAATACCCATTTCTTTGCTTAATAGGTAGATTATTCTCTTTTATCCCAACATTGAATCATTTTTATTTCTTTATTTTCCATTTATTATATTTGGAGCTAAATATGGTGATTAACTTGTCTTTACAACATCTACCTAAATGTTGTAAAGACAAGTTAATCACCACATCTAGCTCCAAATATAATAAATGGAAAATAAAGAAATAAAAAATGACTCAAGGTTGGGATAAAATAGAATAATCTACCTATTAAGCAAAGAAATGTGTACTTAAGCATGTTAAAATTCATGCTTATCACACCCCTAAACTTAAAGTGTTGTTTGTCCCCAAGCAACCAAAAGACAACTAAAAAGGACTCAATGAAACAAAGATACAAGATCATGGCATTAAGTGCACACATATAGCAAAGCATACCATTATGAACATCATAGCCCTTCATAAATCCTTGGCAAACCATTCATAGCCTACTTCTTATGCATGAACCATATGCTAGCACTAATCTTTTTTTTTTTTTTTGATAAACTCAACACACCTCTTATATTAGGGTTAATAGGACTTGGATGGTTTTTCTCTTTTTTGCTTTTTCTTCTCTCATATTGCATTTTTCCTTTATGCTTCATCTTTCAATTTTTATTTTTTTTATTTTTGGCACTTTTGTGCTCTTATTGATGAAAGCATGCACATTGTCCCCATGAGACATTTTTTTGTGTTTTAAACAAATCCCACCAAGGCATCTTTTTAGAGCTTTTGCTCTTTTGTATTGAAGTTGTGGCCTTAGTGGGATACCCTCCCCCAAACTTGAATTGTGGACAATGCCCTCATTGGCTATGTTTGGTGGATAGTGTATAGAAGGGTACAAGAGGCTTCTTTTTGAGTTCTAAGAAGAATGGCCTATATCATACCCTTTTGTGAATTGGTGTGTGAGTTAATTTGTGTCCCAAAAAGACATGTGCTAGTTCTAGTAATAACACAATCATTAGGTGAATGGCTATCTATCCTCAAATTTATTCAGGCTATGATATAAAAAATAATAAGCAATGAACATGTAATCTTGTATGAAACTAAAGCTAAAGACAATAAAACTATCTCAGACTCGATAAAAAAATAAATTTGGAAGCTAAAGTTAAGTGAATGAACCTGTCCTACTCCAAAGGAGTAGGCTTTGTAGCTTGAGATGCCATTTCCACTTCCAGCTGCTGCCTTCAGATGCTCATTCTCCTCCCACAGTTTATTGTTTTCTGCCTTTAGGCACTTCAGCCTCTTGCTCAACTTGCTCAACTTCTTCCCCAAGCTCTCTTCCACTTTCTGCCTCAACTCTTTCATTTCCAGCCTTCCCTGCCTCTGTCCTTTCTTCAACTGGCTCTTGACTTCATCCTTTATCTCCTCTATCTTCTCAAAGGTTTCAGTACTTTGAATCATCATGTTGTCCAATAAATGGCGGTTTTGGGACAAGTCTTCAATCATCCCCATCAAATCTACAGGACCCATGCTCCTGCTGGTTCTCTCTCTCAATCTGGACACAGCCTTCAAGTCTATGGTAGACTTCTCTGTTCCTTCTTTGTTGATAAGATCATCATGGAAAACAGGCACTCCAACATTTTTGAGGAGTCTGTCCATGAACCCTGGGAGGTACAGCTTTCCTTGGGTTCTGTTGGCATAGTAGACAATTGTTTTGTGCAATATGTCTCCCACATTTATGGTCTTTCCTTCCATGATGCAATACAATAGTACCATTCTTTCAACATTGATGGAACTATCATGTGTGGTAGGGTGGAGGGAGTGTTTAACAAAGTTGACCCAAACATTGACATTTGGGGTCAAGGTTGAAGCTTTAAACACCCTAAGCATGTAATTTGAATGGTGTTCCCAAGTGGTTCCAGGCCTAGCAAGTGTTTCACAGATCTTGTTCAATTGAGCCTCAAATGTAGTGTGAGTGAGAATTTCAAAATCAAAATTGTAGTGTGTGGGTAGGCCTAATACATTGTTCAAGGCCTCATCAACAATAGAAAACTTCACTCCCCTCACCTTGATCATGCAAATTTTGCTAGTAGCTACCTCAACATAGAATTCTCTCACAAGCGAAAGGTTGTAGGAGTGTTGTACCTGACAGAAGGTGTGTCATCCCAAAGCATCTATTATCTCCTTGATGAAAGGAAATTCAGCAATACTTCTTTGGTCAAAGCCCTTATTAGGCAGGGCTGTTTTGGTTTTGAATTTCTTGAACACAACCTTGGCTTTGACAGTGCTGAATCCATCAAGAGGTAGCATGGACCTATCTGCCTTTGATGGAGTAGATGAAGTAGTAGCAGGATGCTGTTTGGATGCTGTAGCAGGCTATGTGTTTCTTGGGGTCCTTTTAGGTGAGTCCTCCATGGCCACTGTTTTGCCTCTAACAGGAGGAGCGTGCTTCTTCTTTTTCAATGCAGGACTGCTGTGTGAGAGGTTTTTCTAGTAGACCTCTTTCCCAAAGCCTTCCTCTTTTAGAGGGTTGCTCAATGGGAGTAGGACAAGGGACTGTTATGGCTTCAACAACCTCAAGCAAAGTGTCCATAGAGGACTGCTCCTCAGTCCTCTCTTTTGATAGGTCCACCCCTATTTTGGCCAAAATTTCATCAATCACCTCAAAATCATTGTTTTGAGGGTTGGCCTCAACAGGTTGTTCAATAGGGGCAGAGGTGGAACCAAAATCCCATGGCAACAAATAAAGTTTATTTAAGTCCAATGACTTAGTTGCATCATCTTCAGAGGTAACATATTCTTCAACTAAAACAGTGGGATTGAAGGTTAGCTCAACACTATGTTCTTGCTCGAGTGAATATTCATCAGTTGGTGGTTCATTCAAATCATTTATCTGCACTCTTCTTTTGCTCGGTTCAGGAACATGGGAGCATATCACGTTGGAAGACGAAGGGTTAGCAGTAGGTGGAGGGCTTGCTTCCTCATTTTTTTCGACTCTTGGTGGTGAGGAACTATCATCACTGAGGTCCACCATCTCCGGCTCTCGATTTTGTTGAGTGCTCACAGTCGCCCTTCGCCTATTACTCCTTCGAACAGAGAGAGCAAAGGAAGAAAAATGGGGGAAAAGCTTCTGAGTGACAGAGGATGATGGGGGTCGGTTGGGACGTTAATGGTGAAGTCGATGGAGGGAAATAGGGGGCAATTGAAAGGTTGGGTTAATGGTAAAGGATATGTTAGTTAATGATGTCTAAAAACATGGGTAGTGGGGTTAAAGGGGGTTATTAACCAACGGTTAATAAAGAAAGTTACATCAAAGTACCAAGCGTTAATTTCCTAAGAACCTCTATTAATGAGACTTAACCCATCACTAGTACCTCCAAAAAAAATTGAAGACACTTTTTTGATTGAAAAGTTGGGTTGAAAAGATGGTAATGGGGTGATGTCATCAACATAAGTACCTATTGTACCTTTTATAAGATTCTTCTTTTGACTTTTTCTCAAGATTTTTTCCTACCTCAATTTGTGCTTTTTGGCGCAAAAGACAACCAAAAATTAAACAATACTCTCTTGCAAATGACAATAAAGCCCAAAAAAATTCTCTCATTACAAATAATAGCAAGGCATGGAATGCAGCAACATTACAGGCACTCCACCAAATTTTTTCTAAAATCACAAAACACTTTACAAACTTTCAAACACAGACGCCCTACAAATATAATTTTTTTTACAAACAGAGTTGGACTTTTAAGAAGTATAGGGTGTTTTTGAAGCTTCTAGCAAGGTGTAGCAAAGCTCTCAGAGTGGTATCATGAGAATGCTATCGGATCATGGTATACCTTCACTCTTTGCCCATTTACCTTAAAAATAGTGTTATCTTCTGGGTTGACTAAGTCTACTGCTCCGTAAGGGTATACTTTATAAACAAGGAAAGGCCCAGACCATCTAGACTTAAGTTTTCCTAGGAATAATTTCAATCTAGAGTTAAACAGGAGAACATGATCGCCTTCTTTCAACTCTCTGTGCTGTAATATCTTGTCATGCCAACTTTTTGTTTTTTCTTTATAGAGCTTGGCATTCTCATATGACATCTGCCTATGTTCAT